GGGAGGGAATCGCGGCGTCCAGTCCGGATCCCTCCGTGCTCCGCTCATCCCTCCGGGAGTCCCAGTTATCCCAGTTATCCCAGTTTGAGCTCCCAGTTCCTCACCGGGATCCTCGCGGAGCTCTGGGAATTCCTGCCCCGGCTCCTGCTCTGCCCCAGGGCGTTCCCGGAGAATTCCCGGAGAATTCCCGGAGCATTCCCGGAGCATTCCCGGAGAGTTCCCGGAGAATTCCCGGAGAATTCCCGGAGCATTCCCATCCCCATTCCCACCCCATTCCCATCCCATCTCCATCCCCATTCCCAATCCGATCCCATTCCCGTTCCCGTTCCCCGAATTCCGGGGTCACTGGCTGAGGGAGTCCAGCTCCCCCAGAACCAGGACCAGAACCGGAACCAGAACCGGAACCGGGGCTGGGACCAGACGCTGGAATTCGGGATGGATGGATGAGAGAATTCCGGGGATCACGGGACGATGGAGATCTCGCCCAGCTCCAGAACCAGAACCAGAACCAGAACCAGAACCGGAACCGGGACCGGGACCGGGACCGGGGCAGGACGATGGTATTTCGGGATCACGGGACGATGGAGATCTCGCCCAGCTCCAGAACCAGAACCAGAACCGGGACCGGACGCTGGAATTTCGGGGATCACGGGACGATGGAGATCTCGCCCAGGTCCAGCTCCAGCCGGAACCGGGATCGGGACCGGGACCGGACGCTGGAATTCGGGGATCACGGGACGATGGAGATCTCGCCCAGCTCCAGGACCAGAACCAGAACCAGAACCGGAACCAGACCCAGAACCGGACGCTGGAATTTCGGGATCACGGGACGATGGAGATCTCGCCCAGCTCCAGCCAGAACCAGGGCCGGACGCTCTCCCCGCCGAAGGCGGCGGCTCCGAAGGCGAACAGCGGGCTGGCCCCGGGCCGGTCGCCGTCGAAGAAAGCCACGCGCCCGCCCTCGTAGTCCAGGGCCACCCGCAGGCGGCGCGGGAGCCGCGGCAGCGGCGTCGGGGGCTCGGTGAGAGCGCGGGCCTGGCCCCCCCAGCGCTGCACGGCCCAGACCCCGGCCCGGGGGCTCAGGGCCCGCGACCCCCGCAGCACCGAGCCCAGGCTGACGCCCACGGCGCAGAACGGGCCCTCGGACACGGCCACGGTCCACGTGTGGCGACCGGAGGTGAAGGCGGGCTGGCCCAGCGCGCACGGAGCCGCCGTGAAGCGCTCGGGGCTCGCGGGAGGCTCCGGGCCACCGTAAGCCCAGCGGGCCACGAGCCCGTCCGGGGACAGCAACAGGAGGGGGTGGGACGTGAGAGGGTCCAGGGTGACCCGGGCTGGGAATGGGGAT